AAGGTCCCTTCCAAACCAATACACTCTATGAAATCTGTTTTATCTTACGCAGACTGTTCTTGGTGCTCAAAGTTCTCAATTTAACAGGGGATTATCAGTAAGACTTTTGAGGAATAAGTGCAAAATGTTCAGATCTAATATGTTCTATTACTTAGATAAAAACCTGCTTTTAAAAGCATCAAAAACCTGTCAATTCCAGCACCATTGATCAATGGCACCACCAAAGCTGACAGCTTGTTTTGCTCTCACTCATGGTTTTATTTCTCTTCGAAAATCCCACCCTCTGCTGCTTCCAGGGTCCAGGTAGATCGACCACAGCATGAAACACAGCCAGCACCACTCTGGTGACAGCCATCTGGTTTTGATGACTTATAAAAATTATTTGCTTATTTTATCCCCCGCAAAACACTCTGATGTTTCTGCTTTCCCTCAAATAACAATATTTTGCAATTGCCTTGTAAATTTGTTCCACATCAACAGGTGAGGATGTTACTGGGTGGTCCTGCATTGTCTCCCCAAGAGGGGTGCAAACAGAAGAGCATAAAGTGCAGAGATTAACTACAGGCCTCCCTTAATAATGAAATATTTGGAATGGTTAAAGACAACCATTCTCTAATAATCATAGAATTGGTTTGGGTTGGAAGGGACCTTAAAGATCATCTAGTCCCACCCCCCTGCCATGGGCAAGGACACCTCCCACCAGATCAGGCTGCTCAAAGCCCCATCCCACCTGGCCTTGAACACTTCCAGGTATGGGGCATCCACAGCTTCTCTGGGCAACCTATGCCAGTGCCTCACCACTCTCACAGTGAAAAATTTCTACCTAATATCCAATCTAAATCTACCCTCTTCCAGTTTAAAACTTAACTATGGTAGCAGGAGTTCAGATCCTTGAAACCTGATGTAGATGCCCAACATCTTTTAGGAGGGCCAGTGAGATGGCTGCAAAACCAACCTGGCTACCGGCTCTTGGTCGCTTCTGTAGATGATAATTCTTCCAACAAACCTGCAATAAAAATATGAGAAGCCTATATTACAAACACATTATAAAGAGCTACTACAAACATACTTTTTAAAAGTCACTGACAGAAGATCGAAGCAAACACTTAAGTGTATTTGAGAGTTCCACGCTTCAGAAGGGTGGCTGTGCTCAGGAGAGGGAGAAGCCACGCACCCCCCACAGCCAGGGGTGTCCCCCAGCTGCCACCTATCAGCAGAGCAGCAGTACCTGACCATGCCTACACACCTCAGCACATACCCATTATGAAGCAACGCACTCCAGCAAGCCTCCTTCCAGGGATTTAACCGCAAAGACCGCCTACTCCTGGAAGTCATTCAGCCCAATGCATTTGGGCTTGGAAGGTAGAGTGGCCTAAAAACAGGCACAGGGACCACTACTGCAGCTAAGCTGACAAAAAAATAGCTCATTACACCATGACAAGTGTTGCACCAGGTAGGTTTTGCTGCAAAGAAATTGAGCCCTGAAGAAGTGCAGTGTTGACTTTGCCATCCTTGTATGGAAGAAGCCTGGCAGCTCACCGCTGCCTTGAGAAACATTTCGGTCTCCGATGAAAAATGAACGCACTTTGCTTTGCTGAACTGTAAAACTTATTGGATCCCCAAACCCACGGTGCTCTGGTGTCTGCAGGGAGATGACACCAGGCAGCTGCAGGGCAGGGTGGGCAGGAGAAGCAGACTCACTTGTAGAGGTCAGGCTGTGGCTGTTCACACTCAATCGTGGCGGTGAGAGCGTCGATAGCTTCGTTCGTACAGAGCACAGTGGTATCCCGCACTGCATAGTGGGTCTGGGCAGAAAAGCACAGTAGCGTTACCATGAGCCCTCAGCAACACCGCCTGTGCCCAAGTTTTATACCCTATTACTTAAAAATACCACCATACAAAGGTTTGTCAGTGCCAGGAGCTCACCCGAGCCCTTGCTCCCACAAAGCAGCTGAAGCATCTCTCAACAAAAGCCTTAAGAGAAACCGTAGCAGGAAGGAGCTGCTGTTTTATCAGTTCAGTAAGGTGTACACCGAAAGCATAGCATCTTTGTTTTTTCCCCCAAGGACTTGCCGCCACCCCAGCTGGGGTTAAGGGGAGGCTGCAGGTGCCCCTGGGGCGAAGGGCTCCCAAGGACCACCTGACCACCTGCTTCTGAAGGTAATCAGACATCAGCTCCAGTACTCGGGGACCAGGCAGAGTACTGGCAGACTCCAAGCTATTTTTAGCAGCTGCTACTGCAAAGGTTCATCTCTCACAATTAACTGGAAAGCCCACAAAGGATCTGCTTGCTGCCTTCCAGGCTCTATTTATAGGAACTACTCGGAGCTCCAAGCCACGGCAGGCTGCACAGCAGGCTGCCCCAATCCATCCTCAAACAAATTCATTAAAAACCTTCCTCCACTCCTTACGTTTACATTCCCCTCCTTGCACATCTCAGAAGAAACCGTTAGGTTACACACGCCGTAGTCATGACATTATAAATACCCACCTCTATGCCGGTTTGGTAACCTGCCTGGCTTTTTGTAGTAAAGTAGATGCACAAAGACACATCTCTGGTACAAATCACAGCTTTTGTGAAATGTAACTCAAAACCATTCCTGCAGTACTCAGTACCAAACCCCACCCTTGTGTGGGGTTTTGCATCCACTGCTCCTGTCACCATGGACACTGTGCAGTTACTGAGCAGTACTTCAAAGTTGCCCCCTAATCAAGTCCATGATCTCTACATTCTTGGTCATTAGTGCATTTAGAAAACACATGTTCTTTTAGATAACATATGACTGAATATGCGCACTTCAAAGACAAAGCTCTGACAAAATCTCTTTTTTACATTTCTGCTCCAGTTCCACTTAACCAGGTGTCTCTCCCACACCTTGACCTGACATGCCCCAAGTATTAGAAAAATCCCCACCAGGCTGGCACCAGGCATTGGTGCAGATGAGGTTCTGTGTGTACCTGAGTGTGCTTCTCTCACCCTTCTTCTGCAGCAAACCTTGGTTCCTAATGTTAGACCTATTTCCCCAAACTCCACTTGCTTTTTTATTCCTCCCTTCTCCTTCAAACTCATCTTCATCTCATCAAGAAAAAGGAGACAACTCCCAGTCACCTACAGGAATCCACAAAGTGGGGAAAAAAAACCACGGTTCTTGATACAGAAATTCAGCACTGCGCTTCCTGGCTCAAAATTTAGTAAGAGCCAAGACTGCAATAATTATGTGAACTCATGCATATAATACACCTGACACAAAGAAGCAATTGTCTTTTTAATATGGTTATCTATTTTTAGCCCCAAGCCACTTCAAAGCTCTACTCCTCCTTACTAGCAGAACCAGTACAGTGCACCAGTACTGTCTTCTGATCTATAAAAGTTTTTTGCTGTTGTTTCTTTCTCTAGTTTGGAGGCAGAGTGAGGAATAAAGAAAGAAAAATAAACTAAAGAGGATTCACTCTGAGCAAGGCTAATATCAAATTTCACTTCTTGCTTCAGGGAAAGGGAGAGGAAAAAAAAACAAAACCAAAAACAAACCAAAAAACCTCCACCAAAACAAAAAACACCAAAAGAGATGTTTTTTTCACACTGGTAAAAAATTCCCCAAACAAATCTAGACATACAGCCTCAAAAAGTCCCAGATCTCACTGGAAAAGCTTGGTTAAATAACAGTTGCATTGGCAGGTAGCAGAAAGGGATCTGAAGCAGGTGTAGACACTGCTTTACCAACACACCCAACCTGGCAATGCACGGCTGGAGCAAGGAAGCACTAACATGCTTCCTATCATGGGCAATAAGGCAGCAGAGCTGTATCAATAAAGATCGATTCAATCTGGGGCAGCACCAGCATAAATGGCTGTTGGAGACAAAATGGAAAACAAAATCCCCAGAGCACTTTGGTGCTGACACACTGGGAGCAGACAGAGGGGAAGGCTGTAAATACAGCTGACGGTCATGGGGATGGGCTCCATGGGAGCATCCTCCAGTTAATCACACACACCCCCTCGTGCAAGCACCAGCTTCAGTGTCAGCTCCAGGCACCCAAGTACCACAGAGTGCCAGCTCCCGAACACCGCCCCATCCACCCCTGTCACCTTGAAATTGGACTCGCCATCGAGACTTGCTGTAGTGACGTAACAGGTCCCGTCAGTGCTGCTCGAGGCCAAAAATATCAAGTCACAAGGGAAGGTCTCATCTGCTTTCACTTCCACTATGTCTCCAACCTAGAGGAAAGGAAACGTTTATGTGAAGTGCCCTCTAATTTTTTATTAAGACAGTCACAGATTTAGCTTCTCTCAAAGCCTAAGAGAAATCACCTTGGCTAAAAGGGAAATCAGGGCTCAAGAGGTGCACGGGTCTCCGAGCATCAGTCCACAGCCTAACGGGTTGATCCAGCCCATCACCAACTCGGAGCACCCATGTGGCACATTCAGTATTTATTTCTCTGCTAAATCTTAACGGAACAGAGACTCTGTACTTGTCTGAAGTGTAGGGTGATAAATTAACATCAAAGCTAAGTGTACTTTCCTGGTGTCCTTGGGAGAGTTGGAAATAGAAGAGGACTGCCTGTCCTGGAGAAGTGCAAAACGCTGACAGATCTGTCACTTGTCAGCCCTGGTACAGCTCTTGGGAGACAGCTTTTCAAAAGCAATCAAACAAAGACAGCTTCACTCCTTAAACGGAAAAAGCTCTCTGAGAATCTCATCTGAAAGTGAGCACACCAGGGCAGCTCTACCCACAGTACACCCCTCCTGCACTGCCTCGTTTCCTCACCACATACCCTTCTGTTCCCACCAGCTTCAGCGACAACCACATGCAAGTTCTCTGTCAACAGTTACCTTGATTTTTTCACTTTCTTTCTGCACTTGCTTTGCATTTTCGACAATGAAGACATTACTTTTGTTCACTTCGTTGTCAGCTCTGTGCCTCAGCCAGTCCTCATATCCCTAGGCACACAAATACAGGCAACACAAACTCTTAACAAAGCAAGTAAACTAACCAAAGAGGATGAGTGGAGATGGAGAGAAAGGGAAAGATTAAAAAATTGAATAAATTAAGCAGTCCGCAGACCTCCTTCATGCCTGACAAAATATCAACCAGAGTTGCTCAGACTGAATCAATTTATTTTAAAAGCTTCATATGCATATTTGACAGATTCAGAACAGATTAAAATACCACACAAAAATAATCTATATGCAGCACATGCAACGAGCAGCTAAATTACTGTAACATGTTTCTATTATTCTCAGTGTTGGCAAGAACAGGCTGATAATATGAACAATACACTTAGCACCCTGCAACTCTTTCCTGTGGTAACGGAGGACAAGAGTCTTCCTCTTCAGTCCTCACTGAAAGAATAAAACACTCAGATTTGAAACAGACTGATTTTACTCTAGCTCTCCCTTTCTGGCCCCTGCAGAAGAAAATTATTTTATTGTTCAGTCCTTTTGTAGAGGAAATTTTAAATAGCACATGCGCATATGATGGGAGAAAAAAGGGCTTTTAACACCGGCAAGGAGATGAGGACTACGTATTTCAAGACCAGCTGAATGGCTGAACAGAACCTGTCCTTTCTATTTACCAACATGGGAGCAAAGTCCTGGCTATATTTGGAGCACGTCTCTGCAAAGACTCAGAGAGCATTTCTAAAAAGAGAAGAAAAATTCAAGCCAAGCCAGAAAGTGGTAACCTTTACTGACCCTCACAGCTTGCTTACAACAGCACATATAGAGATGTCCTACATTGACAAAACAAGAGAGACCAATAACCACACTCAACATGAAGCGTCTCTGGAAAAGCAGCAGTATACATGTCTGACCTTCCGAGGAGGCTTCACCAAACCTACCAGCCCATTTTGGTGACTTCTGAGTCTTTTCAAATACATTTTCATAATTTTCTATATCATATGTCCCAGAGAGCATAGTCTTCTCCCCACATTGACACTTATACCTGTTTGATAGCTGTGACAGTGATGACAAAGAAGAGTGGGAGGCCACTGGTCACTGGGCTGGTCGGGGTGTCCACTATCACCTGCAAAGAGGAAAAAAAAATAAGTACTGCTGACAACTGGTTTTCAGGCAGCAGAAGAAACCAATATTCTATAACAGAACAAGAAGGGTGCTCAGCCCACTGAGGGTCACCACCCAGCAAAGGAGAGAGGGAAGGAAGGGGCACACAAGAAAGACCAGCACAGGCATCCTGAGGAGACTATAATGCCTCCTCCTGAAGACCACAAGATATCCTCAGGTGGGGAAAAACCCTTTCAGAAGTTGCTTAAAACCTAAATTTAATGCAATCACTTCAAGTGTTGATGCCAACAGGATGTGCCAGAGAGGACTGAGTCAGTGAAGATGGCTAGGGCAGATGCAGCAGCAATGCACGATGTGAAAAACACCCTCAATTCTTGCTGAGCCACAGGATGGCTGTTTCTGCTCTTTGGCAGTGAAGATGGGGCACATCTGAACCCTAAAACCCGACTGGATATGAGAGGGAGGACAGTACTAGTCATCTTGAACCACTGAGGCAAGACTAAAAATAACACACATTAGCCCAAATTAGATAGGAAATATATTGCAGACTAGAGCATTAATATTTAAGCAAAACAAGCTCTGAAATTTGGAGTTAAGAGCACAATTTAAGCACATAGACCGCACAAGGGCCTCGGGGTGGATAGCTGGATTCCTCCCAACTTCAGCACAGCACTCGAGCTAGTGCTGCAGCTAAGACCAAGCCTCTTGATCATTAATTAAGCCTTCAGGCTGTGGGAAACTGCTGTTTCTTCTGACTGCGTCATGACTTGTCCCGAAGGCAGAACAGGCTCATAATTGGGAGGGAATAATGTAAGAGGAGGAAAAGCTGCACCCTTGCCCCACCCTCCAAACCAGGGCATGCAAAATTGGCCATTTTTCCTGCCCTCCCCAGAGGGAATGGGAGCACAAGGCAGATGGTGAAGCTCAGTAGAAAGGCTTTGTGTCCCCACAAAGGGACTTTGTCTCCCTCCGCTTGTTTGTGCTTCCCTGGGACACTCACAAACAGCAGCATCTGTGTATTTATTATTTTAGGCTGCCATAAAATGCTGTGTTAAGGACAGGAATGCTCTTATTGGCCAGGAGGAAGCTACATGGAAATTTTTAACTCCATGAAATACCCTACACTGCAATTTTACCCTGCACAATTGGACCCAAAGAGAGAAGAGACAGAAGATATGGAAGTGGAAGTGATGCACCACAAGAATCAGTCAGGTAAGTAGTGTATGAGTTAAGTAGAGTGAGGGTAAACCAATATAAAAACAACAAATATTTCCAGGAACACAAAGCCCTGGCTCACTCAAATGGGTATAAAATGTTTACAAACGGGAAGTCTGGTAGAAACCAACTAACTGGGTGGCACTAACTGGGGTGGCATCACTGAAGTTTAAGCCAGTCAGTCAAACATTATCTTGCAAAAATTTAACAGGTCTTGGAAATACAAAAGGAACTTTGGCTTTTAGCTGAAAAGGGCAAGGAAGAAGACCTCCTGCTGCCCATAGGAGAGTTCTCTGCACTGGGCAAGATGCAGCTGTGTTTGTTTAAACAAACAAGAGAGTTTCTGTCCACACAAATGCTGTGTTATAGATGTATGAACACAAATATTAGATGAAGTCCCCAGAATAACTCGTGTATTTGGAGATGGCACTCTCTGCACATCCCGTTGCTGGATACTGCTCATCCTCTTTGCAGTTGGTGGAAAACCGAGGGACACACGAGCAACGTGCCAGAACATCAAAGGCAGACTACTTTGAAGCTATTTTTGAGCTGGTTTAGGACTTCAACAGCTTAATTTGGAGCCACTTAAAAGTGATAAAATCCTCCTGCTACTTAGTAGTTTCTTCCTAACTCATTGTTTAGGAGACTGAAGATCACAGTCCAGAAGTCATCTCCATCAATCAAAAGGGACATTTTTCATTCCTGGCACCTCCTACATTAGCTCACTGTCTGGTCTGTCATTAGCTTTACAGCTTGGTCTGTCTACAAATACACCTGGACTATGCTTACTCCAGGCCAGCTGTTCTCACCAGGAGTTTACTCACACTTTCCTTTGAGTGTTGCAGCAGATGAACCAAAGAAACAGCTGTTTGTATCCCTGCTAGAGCACTAATAGGTGCTTTACGTTTCATGCATGTACTTTCTCCTCCTCCCTCTAAAAAAGGGGCTGAATTTGAAGTCTGAGTAATAGACATTTTGATAAAGAGTTTCAGCAGCAGGTAGAGCAGATGCACCAGACAATTCCCCATGCGCCGTGATACTCCTCTCCTAAAGCAGCACTTAGGGCAATTCTATTAATTTAAAGTAGTGTAAATATAAGCACCAACATTCAAGCTATAGATGCCATATATAACCCTGGATATTTTAAACAGAGTTGCCCCGAGTGCTTTTTTAAGGCAAGTGATGTCTCCAAAACAATGAGCGCCCAGGGGCGGTCAGTTACTCTATAGGGCAGCAAGTGTATTAGTGCTGTCAGGCTGATTTTCTTCAGTTGGGTTTGTTTTTTCTCTAATAGATCATGAGGGTTGCTTCCTTATTTTAGAGGTAATCACAGATCACAAAATAAAACCAAGGAGGAACAACAAGGCTCTTCTCTTACCTGCAAACCCGTGTGCCTGAAATGAGTAAGCAGCTAAACTGCAACCAGTTTTGTAAGTATAATTAAGAATATCCTGTGCTCTTCATGGCCAGAGGGTCAATAGATAAAAATGTAATACTGCGTCACTAAATGGCCAACTACACAAAAAGGACATCCCAACTCCAGGGCATTGCTTCAATTCAAGGCAAATTACAAATTCGCTCTGACACAATGGAGCGATGCCTGTGAAATCAAGTGGTGGAGAAGAGCCAGCTGATGTCAGGATAAATTGGCTTTTCATGTAACACTGCCAGGAGGAGCCATCCTCAGCCATTAGCTTGGGATCCCCCATTTCTGCAGCAGCCACTAAAATTAGTATAAGCCATAACTCTTTACTCCAAGGACAAAACATTTTAGGCACTTGTCTTTTGAACATGCAGCCTAGAAGAGAGCCATACCCAAAACTGAACCACCAAAACTCTGGAGAAGCCATCTAACAGCAGGCTGTTTGCAGTAGCCACATGGTGCCTTTTCACTTGCTGGGGCAGAGTTTTTGATTACTATTTTCAGTCATCATTTCTATAGCCTACAGCAGGCTGTCTGCTGAGTCCCAGGCCTGAGGATTTAAAAGGCGAGCAAATGCACTGCAGTGATTCTCCCAAACTCCCTTCTCCCTGGCGCATTTGGACAGCCCACTTTTCTTCTTGGCTGACAGAACAAAAAATGAGTATTCACGTTTGCTTAGGATTTGTTCCTTAACCAAAGTAATAAAGCAGAGCAGAAAAAGTTCGTCCGCGTATACAATTTGCTATTTTGTCTGTGTAGAGCAGCTTCATGAAGCTTCATGATCCCAAAGCTCATGCTATGCATTTCATGAATTTTACTGAGTATAGTCTCTCTCCCCTGCTAGCCTTGAAAGTCACTACAAGTGAGATATAGAAATACCACATAACTTTGTAAAATCGCAGTTATGCAGCAGAAATAATAAAGATGACAAAAAATAGACCGTAATTCAGTAGCATCAAATGTATTTTCACTTGTTGACTGATCTTAACAGTTTAAGAGTTAATTCTTTCAGGTATCATCTCAGATAAATCCAAATATTTTAACTAATATTTTATCTTGGATGATGTGCAGGACTTAAAACACAGCTTCCAATTAACAAAAAAAAAACAAACCCAAAAACACTCACAAAGCCCCACACTTATAAGAGTCTGTTTTGAGCCTCAATTCTTGTCCAAGCTGTGCTTACCATCAGTATGTAATTAAAACTCACCATTCGCATCAAAGCTCCTACCTGCACGAGGAAGATGATGAGGAAGTAGAAGTTGGCAATTCTTCTAAACTGCTCAAAAAGGTTCTTCGGCAGGAAGTTCCAGAGGGTGTACTGCGGGGAGAGAGGGAGCTCACAAACAGACCAGGGTACAGGGCTGACTGGGGCTACCTGTGAAATGGGAAGTATCTGCACAAAACAGGACAGTTGTTTTCCCTTTAACCTGGGGAGAAGCAGGACAGTGTGACATGATTTCATGAAGAGGTAATGCATAGTGCAGAGACGTTTTTTCCCTCCAAATTTCAAAAGCCACCTTAGGGTTGCTCTTCTGTTTAAAAAAACACATGTTACCCACACAGATCTATTATTAGGTTGTGCTTCTCTATCATTTTAAGAAGGCTGCTGAATAATTTGCTTTGGAAAACACATGGAATTTAAGAACAACATGGCAAATAATGGGTCTAATATCTGCTCTCACAGTCTGCCTGGTATAAGCATAGAATAATAAGCAGCCAAATCTCAAGACCAAATGTCCACTTAATCATAAAAAGAGACTGGTCAGGTAAGAAGGCTCCATGCCTAGCAAATATAAATTGAAAAAAAAAAGAGCAAGGATATCACATTCAAAAATAAATCAGGGAAGAATTAAAATAAGTGCTAAAACAAACAATTTTGTCAGAGAGGGAACTAAAACAGGGGAAGGTGTCCTTTCTGAACGACCCTCTTGCATGTCAGGGAAATGTCAGTGGGAATGCTACACGAGTTAAACATGATTAGATTTAAATCTTTCCCCCCAGTATAAACTCAGACAGCTCAGACTTAAAACAAGTAAGAGCTAAGTTGTACAAAAAAAAGAAAGGAGAGGAAAAAAAACCAACCCTGTTTGAGCTCGAGTAAAACTGAAGCCTAACTGTATGCTGAGCATCATGGATCCTAAGCAATGTAGCATATATCCAACTGTGTTGACAATATGGGATGCCACTTGTTTGATATTTTGCTCCAACTGGGTCTATATCTTTTGAAATAGTTTCATGAATGTCATGGAAAAAAGCTAAGCAGAAGGCAGATGCGTGTCATCATCATTTTTCACCATAAACAAAAGCCGCACTAATACCGTATGAATGTTTCCCCTTTCATCCAAAGGGATAAACAGAGCTTGGTTATTTTTGTCCTCTCTCATGAGAGCAAAAACCCATGGAACAACAAGAAAAAGGGACTCCTTTTTCTGTCCATTTATAAAGTAATCCCCACTCTCTTTTGCAAATCTGAATTGCTGTCGTCTCGTGCTGTATTACAGTTAACCTGTTGTTTCCTCACAAAGGCAATGTCAGAAAACATTAAAAAAATTCCTTACCTAAACACCCCACAAAACCAATTTGCTTTGCATCCAGCCTAGAAGAAAGGAATGTGCACGCATCTCCACTGGGATTGACAAGAAGACAAAAAAAAGACTAATAGAGAGACTGGAGCTGTGGTGTAAGGCACATACCACAAGGCTGCTCCACTTGCAAAGGGACCTTTACATCCACCCTTGAGGAATTTAGCGTTTCTCAATTTCAAAACAACCCTCAAATAAAATCAGGGTGAATACACAAACAGGGAATACATCCCCACAATGCATGCGCAGGAGTGGAGCAAGCTCACCTTAGAGGAGACAATCCTGTTGTCACAGAACTTCTGTGCCACATAAGCATCCGTTTCCAAAACCGGACGGTGCCCAACCACCACGGTGCGCGTACCGACCCGCTTCTCTTCCCCCGCACACTGTTGAGGCAACCAGGAAAGGGAAAAATTAGGTTCTAGCTCAAAAAAAGTTGAATATTTGTATTAACAGCTTCCAGCTTCTGAATGCACCGTGCTGTTCATTGGAAATAAGGCAGCTGGAACCTCAAAAATTCACTTCTCTGCCCCAGCAAAAGCACAGAAAATGAAGAGGCACACGTAAGGTAATTAGTAAAACCAAGGCAATGCAGATCCCTGCAACCTGGGGTCCCAACCATTGCTCAGCCACTCATGACTCAGGAGCATAGCTCATCCTACAACCCAACAGGACAGGCCACTGCTCATATCCACCATGCTCCTGCCCTATGCAGGATGGCTGCTGCCTGTACTTGTACCCTATGCCCATCTGCCAGACAATTTTTCCTTCTTGAAGAAGAATATTTCTTTTATCAAGCACTTAAAGTAATTAGGAATATCATTTATCTTCTACATATCTCTTCCTAGCCCCAACGTGGAGAGTCCTTCAACTTTGGGTTTCCACAGCAGCTCCAGGCTTTACCCCACAACCCCATGGAGGACGATGGAAACTGCACCCTCCTTTATACTCAAAATGTCTCACCACTGCACTGGTGCACACAGACTTTGGACTTAGTTTAAAAATAAAATAACAAAGCAGAGTGTTACACATCACAAACTCCTCAAAAAGACACACAGGATGCTGGGGATCCCAGCTTGTCTTGCTGGGGGTCTATTTTAAAGCAGAATGAGATACGGCAAGTCAATGACAACCTGGTATCACAGGGGATCAACAACAGCTCCCTCTGCCCTGCAGCAGCCAGGGAGAGGATGTGGGGAATTGCAGCAGAACAAACTCAGAGGGGAAGCAGAACAGCTCATCAGCTTCCAGCTCCAGGCTGCTCAGCACATGCAAGGTCCTCAATGGATCAGAAAAGTCTATTTTCTAAAGAAATAAAACTGTGCAATAGTTTAAAAATCAACTTCTTATTCTGTCCAGGTCCCACTTCGTATATAACAATGTGCCCCTGCCACAGATGCTCACAGCCAGAGGAGAAGACCTGGCTGGCACCAGCAAGTGTTTTGCAAGGTTGAACTACTAACTGTGAAGTGAATATAAAACACCCACTGAGAAGAGATGGGGGGAAAGGGGGAGGAAGCGTCTTCTTAGGCCAGGTTTTCTTACAGCTAAGGTTTTGGATTTTAAAACATGAGCAGGGAAGACATTTGTCACTGTTCATGGTTTAAGGGCATTAGCAGGCAGCAAGGCTGCTAAAACACCAGCGGGTACTGTTCATACTCCACTTAGTCTTATTAATCCTCAACCCTAGAGCTCGTTTGCTTTGAAACCCCACCAGGGCAGGTGTCAAAAATGCCAAATCGCTATCCCGTGTCAGCTGCCCAGCATGGGCTCAGCCCACCATGGACAGATGCTCCTGGCGCAGCCTGGGTCCAGCTCCGCATCCTGGTGTCCAAAGGGCCCGGGCACAGGCAGCCTGCCAAGCTGCAACCAAAACTCAGCTAGAGAAAAGGTGCTCTGAAAACAAGCATGCAAAGACAGCAAGGTCCAAGACTACTGCTGCTTGGAGAAAGTGTGTGTGCGCGGGGAAGTCTAAGCCAGCCCTATTAATGTACCTGGAGCAGCAGCAGTTGAATGGATCCTGCTGCACCAGGAGCAGGGTCTGCCCAAAGGAAGCTGCAGCTCTTCCTTCCCCCTGCTCGCCACCCACATCCGCAGCATCTTTAATTAAAGAAGCTGTTTTATACCATGCTTAAACCCAGTTTGGTGTGCTGACCACTCTCACTACAGCTGTCCTCAAACCTCCAAAGGCAGCCGCTTAGAGCGGAAGAACAAAGTTTCCAGCACCATGTGATAACAGCAACCCCCTCCACAGTGCATCAGAGCCCTCTGCAGCAGCGGCAGAGGGGGAAGTCCTCTACTCCATGGTCTAACCAAAGTCCCACTACTCCTGGCGCCTCATTTCCCATTTCCCAGTGTCACACCGGCATGCAGCCACGCAAGCAGCCGGAAGGCTTCATGCCACATCTCTCCACTTTTTTCACCTCCCAGAAAGCAAGTACACACCACAATGATGCCCACAGCAAGAGATGTTGGCTCAGCTCAGCAATGAAAAGATCTTATTTCAACAAGCCCAACTCAAACAGCTCGCCGGGTTGCTAATAGATTGCTAAGTCTTAATAACAGCTCTCAATGGAGACTTAAGAAGAGATTTAGGAAGTAACTGCTAGGCTTTTGGGAAAATTATAAAATATGCAGATTAGCAGGGAGAGGATTTAAACGACTTTTCCTGACTGTCTTTCATCAAAAATGTTAATTCTGATGGCAAAAAAGAGAAAATATTACTTGGATACAATTCAAACAGCTGCCTTGTTGCCCAGTGGGGCTTTATAAAGACCATGGTCCACAGCACAGGAGTCAGCTGAGGCAAGCAAGAGCCAGAGTTTCTTCTGCTGTTTAGAGCCATGCATGCCAAAATGATTATTTCAGAAAATAAACACTTGCATTTCCCCCCATGTGCATTTTATCACTTCCCTTTGCCTGGGGTGTAGTATTTGCAGGAGCATGGGGAAAACCAGAGTTGTCCATAAGGATGAGTGGTGTCAGACTACCCACGGCCTAGGAGCTGTGCAATGGGAGCTGCACTGCACCCTTCATCAAGCCATGAGGATGCTGGTGGGTGACCCTTATCCCCTCTCTGACATACCATGCCCCAGCACCCCAGAATAGCTCTCAGCAGCTGGCAGACACAAAGCAGCACCCCAGGGAACACTGCAAACCCCAAGAATCAAGAGCAGAGAGAGAAGGTGGTATTTTTGAGGAGAGCCACTCTCCTGTTCGCATCACTCGAAGACCAGCCCCAAAGATGTGGGCCTCTCATGCAGCATTTCAAGCTTCAGCTCAGGGATCCTGCTCTGCTCCCCCTGTATCTATCCAAGCCCACCAGCAAGCCAATTCAGTAGGGCATCCAAACCAGATTTCTCTTGAAAAAGCTCAGCTGAAAGACAACAGCCAGAGAGCCAAACACAAATCATAGGAGATAAAAATGAGGCTAGCAAAGCTGCTCTGCCAAGAACATCTTTCTGACTTGCAAATGAGCTCATTATCTACCTTCACTTCTCACCTCGGGCAGGACCAGGCGCCCAGGCTGCAGTAATATATAACTGCATCGTCGCCATCAATGTGGGCACGCACACTCTGCTGCATGCAGGACAGGGAGAAGTGTTGCTGATGCAGTACAGCCTTCCTCATGCCACAGAGAAATTCAGATACAGATATTTCTATTAAATATTTTGATGTAACCCAACCTTCCCATACTTTCAACTTTGCATAAAGTCCACTTACAGCTAGAAGCAGCAAATCTGAAAATAAGGCATTAGGGATAATAGCTATTTTCTTACATTGTTCAAATTTTAAAAGTCCACCTACAAACATCAGTGTGCTCATGGAAGGTCAGCTGAGGTTTGACTCTTCACCCACCCTCGCAAATTTCTGGGAATCCATCACAGCACCACGTACAGGACTCAGCCAACACTTGATAATTGTTGCAAACCTGGGTAAAAATTAGCAAACCTGGGTAAAAATTAATGGAGTTAGCCCGAGTTCAACAGAAGAGGTGAACCTGTCCTCTGCAGCCACTGTTCATGAGAAGCCACTCTGAGTGGGTTATTTCTAGGGCAGCTGCGAAACAGTGTTCAATTATATCCCCCATATGGAAAACAAATGTCTGTAGTACCTGCCAGCCCTGTTTTCAGAAAAAAAAAAGTGGCAGAAAAAGAAAACCCAAGACAAACTCGCCACCATTTGATTTATTACAGTTTCAGAAAGCACCTAAACCAGAACTAACTAATCAAAAGAAACTCCTTTCATGTTTGCTGAACATATCTTCAAGCCACAAAGTAAACACAAATAACTCATAGAAAAGAGATCCAATAGAAACCACAGGCATTTTTTAAAAAGTCATCTGCTAAAGCCAGAGATAATTATACGGTACAAGTACAAAGCTCAAACATTTGAACGCAATCACAGCTTATATTAAATATATGCAGAAGAAAGATTAAATCACATTACTCAGCTTAGATCTCATGAATAGCTTAAAGCCTAATCACTCCTGTATTGTTCCATTTATCATAAAAGTAGTAGAGAAGACGACCTGATTTACAAAAAAAGCCAGCAAAAATGACACCACCTCCCAAAACAGCCTGTTCTAGCTCCTGTTTTGTTTAGCCCCAGAAGAACCAAGAGAAACACATACACAATTTTAAAAAGCCTCCATAAATTTGCTAAAACCTTCCCAAACTGTCCGGCAGACTTGGAAAGCTGCTCAGCACGTCGACCTCATTGCCCAACCAATATATTTTTAATTGAAATTTTTCTTGCCAATTTTTCTATTACTCTTTGTCCTAAGCCATCTTCATGCAAGTACAAGTGATGCTTTGAGAAAACCCACAATGATTCAGTAGCTCAGACTATGCTTACCCACACCGACCACATTTTTAGGCAGATCTCCTGATTTAGAGAGAGAACAGCATTGATCAGGATCAATCCCACTGCTCTCCCCTACACCTGTGGAAAAGGGTCAATAACATGCAGTCCTCAGGGGCAAAAGAACCCAAAACAAACAAACCAGCATTGCATTTAAAATGCTATGAGCCCATAGATCCAGGAGAAAGGGCTCAAGGCAAGCACAGCTCCGAGCTTGTTTCCCACCAGTGGGGACTTCTGTTGCTCATTCCTAAACAGAATAGGGAAGGTTGGTACCTTGGGAAAGCAAAAGGTTAAAATTTAAACCAGTCTCCCTCCTCCTGCTCTGAGGCTGAAGCTCCTACTGTTATCTCAACCAGAGAGAAAACAGGATCACCAAGGAGTGACTGCCAGGGGCAAGCTGGCTCCAGTCAAGATTTTTGGGGTAGCAGAGGGATAACTGTGAAAGCCCCCAGACCAAGCAGAACAAGCAGCAAGAGTAAAAGAGGAGCCATGGGAAAAGGACCTACACCCCATCCCTGGT